CCATTATATGCTTTAAGACTTCACCTGATGACACACTCACTCTGGAGCACTTTCACAGACTGAACCCTTCCCCCGCCATCCCTCATAACAAGGGAGAGTTTGCATGACTCGGGGCATACAAAGATCAGAAGAGTTCCAATGCACTAAATGCAGGGTATTTAACATGCTCAGTGTCAATTATAATCCCTTTGAATGAGAGCTACAAAACAAGAGAGGTTGGGAGTACAGCACAGGCCTCTATTTCATTTGATACACTCAGTGTATCACTTTTCATTTCACTCTTTGTAAGGTGAAAAATATTCAGCAAACATATATAGTCAACAACAGAAGTTCACTTTAAACCCAATTCAGCAATTCCCACAGGCAGTAGAATGATTACCTAGTGTTCTCACTCCTGCAAACTACAGTTGCGTGTCCAGATGTAAGGAATATGGGGGACTACTTATCACCTTTTCCATCTGCAAGTACTAACGCAGATTGTGTGGGCTGATTGCAACACACTACACGTGTGGTGTGCCCTGCTCCGACTATGGCACGCAGAGTTTGGCACCGACAGCGCCACATCTGCAAAACTGCCTCACTCGAACAAGCGCGCTTGTGCCTGGCAGAGCAAGCAGGACGTTGGCTGGTACCGTTTCTGGAGAGTGCGTGGGAACAGTCGCTGCACAGCCAACGGTACTGCAATGGGACAGGTGGGGGTGCACCCAGAGCCAAAGCACTGTGCCCCACTCTTGCCTGAAGATGGGCTCCATTTCTAGAGCTGCTTCAGTTGGTGGTAAGGAGCAGAGCTCTGGGGTTGATGCGGTCCCGGGCTGAATTTTGCTGCCCATGATTTCGGACATGGTGGCCAAGCTGAACTGTCTGTAGCATCCAGGCATGAATCCAGTTGCCTGGTCAATGGCGTCAAGTACTGCAACACTGATGCCACCCAGCCGAGAGACTGCATGCAGGCTGCATGAATCTGAACTCAGTGCCTCTGCTGAGGCCAGCTTTGGAAGCCACCGTACACTGGGGTTGTGTCTAGACTGGCAAGTTTTTCCACAAAAGCAGCTACTTTTGCGAAAAAAACTTGCGAGCTGTCTACACTGGCCGCTTGAATTTCCGCAAGAACACTGATGATTTCATGTAAGAAATCAGTACTTCTTGCGGAAATACTATGCTGCTCCCAGTCGGGTAAAAGTCCTTTTGTGCAAAAGGGCCAGTGTAGACAGCTCAGATTTGTTTTGCGCAAAAAAAGCCCCGATCGCGAAAATGGTGATCGGGGCTTTTTTGTACAAAAGCGCATCTAGTTTGGCCCGGACGCTTTTCCGCAAAAAGTGCTTTTGCGGAAAAGCGTCCGTGCCAATCTAGACGCTCTTTTCCGCAAATGCTTTTAACAGAAAACTTTTCCGTTAAAAGCATTTGTGGAAAATCATGCCAGTCTAGACGTAGCCAGAGTGTGCAGTGCTGATGTTCTTCTACAGCAGCATGAGCTATTATGCTCTGCTCTCTCTTGTGTTAGGGGCTCTGTCCTCACTAAAGATGTGAGGCTCTGTTGAAGGTAATGATGCAAGAGTAAGACAAACATCAGTGTCATCCGATGATACCTATAGTCCTACCTGTTTCTTTTTTGCAGCCATCATTGTTTGTTGTACCAGGGTGTTATCAGCTTCCTCATGCCAGATGAGCACATCTCCTCTGTTGATCACACCTCCCTGGCTTATTTCAGCTAGGGGTGTTGTCTCTGCCTGTGATGAGTAGCTTGTGGTTTAGTGTGTCATTGCTGCAACTTCTTGTCTTGAACATGATGTACCAATTATGTGTCAACAGGTTCTTATTTTCAAGACAAGACAGGGGGAATTGTATTGTGCTCTGCTTGCTTCTTTAGTTCTGCTAGATCTTTGACGCTCTTTGCTGTGAAGTCTTTGGACCTGTCAAAGACAAGATCTCCATCACTTGCTACTAACTCATGTATGTCAACTCAGAAATTGGTCACAAAGTCCTTGAAACCATTTATTGGCCAGAGTACTATCCCAAGAACTGCAGAACTGACAGCTGTGCAAGTGAATCCTTGTCAGTTGCAGCTGCTTCTTTAGGCCAGGCCTAGCTTTGGCAGTTCTCATGTCACCAAAGTCACTGCACACAGAGGAGCCAACTCACACTGATGAAATATTCTTGATATCAACCTGTCATGAACTTGCTTGTAGGCTTCCGAGGGAGGATCCTTGCTTAAATAAAGTTAGTGTCCAATACCTGAGGTGGGCTAACCTATGCATGGTTTTTTTTGTCAACACCAGCATCTCGCGTAGCCTTAGCATTGTGTCATAGAACCCTGTAGGGAAGCTAAGTTCAAAATCTTGCATTTAGCAAATTCAAACTGCAAGAACATCTACAGACAGTGATATCACCAACCACTACCAATGTTAACTATTGTGTCTGGGTGCTTAGTGGTGTTTCAGGGATCAATGCACAGCTCTAGCTTGTTAATAATGGTCTCTATTCTATCAGCAGTAATCCTTGACTTCATTTCCTCTTTTGAGGATCGCTTGTATTTATTCCCCACTGGTGTCATTTATGTTTTCAGTGTCTTCCACCTGACAGCTACCAGGGCTCTTGATAGTTCTTGATAGTTTCTGGTTTCACAAAAGTGGTTTCAACATACATGTCACTCGACTTGCCATCTTATATTTCTCAGCATGGTGCAAGATATGCTGCAAGCTCTTCCTGCATAGAATCATGAAAGTGTAGAGCTGGAGGAAACCTCAAAAAGTCATCAAATCCAGCTCCCCTGTGCTGAGACTGTCCAGGTTTACCTGGCCCTACCTCTGTCAGGTGTTTGCTAACCTTTTTCTTGAGAATCTCCTCTTCTGGGGATTCCATAACCGGCCTTGGAAGCCTATTCCAGAGTTTAGTTGGAAAGCTTTCCCTAATATCTAACAAATCTCCTTTGCTGCAGATCAAGCTCATTAGTTTGTTCACCGAACATAGGACATGGAGAACCATTGACTCCTGTCCTCTTTATAACAGCCCTTAATGTCTTCGTTTCTCAACACTGAACATGCCTCCTTTTTTAAACCTTTCTTCAGATATCAGGTTTGTTAATCTGTCTGTTATTTTTGTTGCTTTTCTCTGGTCTCTCTCCAGACTGTCCACATCTTTCTCAAAGTGTGGTGCCCAGAAGTGGGCACAGTACTCCAGCTGAGGTCTCACCCGTGCAGAACAGAGCAGGACAGTTATCTCTACAGTCTTGCATACAACACTCCTCTGACTACACCCCAGAATGATATTAGCCTTTTTTGCAGTTTCATCACATCATTGACTCGCGGTCAGTTTGGGATCATGAAACATTTTAAGACAAACACAGGATTTGGAAAGACAAAAAATGTGCTTCACTATACACATGCACACACTTATAATACAGTGTAAACAGCCTTTCTAATCAAATTATTTTAGCAGATAAAATACATATCAAATGAAAAGTAAACAGTGCTTTTGCGGAAATTCAAGTGGCCAGTGTAGACAGCTGGCAAGTTTTTCCAGAAAAGCGGCTGATTTTCTGGAAAAACTGGCCAGTCTAGACACAGCCTTAAAGTCTCTAATTTACTATATATTTGAGAGAGTTTCTCTGTGGGCAAGCCTGTCTGTCAGTTTGTTCAAGAACTCCTCCTAAGCGGTATGAGCTAAAACCACCAAATTCGATATACAGAACTTACTGCAAGGTACGAGTTTAGGTGTAGGGGGGGGGGGGGAGCTGACACCTCTCTCCCAGGCATACAAGGATGCATAAAATCATACAGAAGAGACAATCACCAGGCAGTTGAAAGGGGATGACTGCCCCAGACACCACTTAGGAACAGTACTGGCTGTTCCCCTTTGTTAGGGAGTGAGGGTGCACAATTTGCTTCATTCCTCAATCTTGCTGGAGAACGCAGGAGACAGACAAACCTGGACTTGGCCCTCCCCTGCCTCTACCTGCTGAAGCTGCAGCGGCCATGGAAAGGCATTTCTCACCTAGCCCCAAGCTGCTGCAGTGAGAGAGGGCAGCATACCACTGCAATGATTTCAATGAAGAAAAACAAAAATTAATTGAGTTAAGGACCCCTGGTAAAAATCTTCTAGTTGTCCAATACTTGTATTAATGTGACAGTGCTAAAGAACCATATTCTGAGAGTAGAAGACAAGTATGTCTTGCTTCTCAGTTGAGGGGAGCCAGGGAGAAAGGGCTAGTGCGCTAGCAAGAGATAAGATTAGAACAGGTGCTAAGAAAGACAGAAGTACCCTTCCCCCCAGTTGTGTCCTGTATCAAAATACTAGTGTGACATTTCCATTAAAAAGCAACTGAAATTCAATTAAAGTGGTTTCAGTGTCACCAGTCTTGTAAGGAAAGAAGGGGAGGTGGGAAAGGTAGTGCTCATATTTCAAACGGCTGGACAGTCCCAAGATGGTATGAGGCAGTTGCTTCAAAATTCAACTATAACTAACTCTCCCTCCCTCTTCTCTCAAAGGTAGAGCCCAAACCGACTACAGTGTACAGTATTGGGATTACCGGGCTGAAAGGGGAAAGAAAGCAAAGGCCACCCAGCGAGCCCAAGGGCGGGTGCTGGTGAGATGGGCAGAAGGCGGGGGCTGAGCTGCCCTCTAGCCTGCTCGCAAGGGGGGCGAAGGAGCAGATTCCTGGGAAGCCTCCTGCCCACTGAAGATTTGGGGTGGGCGGGTGGATGCTGCTCCGCCCTAGACAGAGCAGGCGGCGGTGGCCCAGGCTCAGGTCCGCACCCAGCCCGAGCCGTACCTAGTGCCCGATTGCTGTCTGCAGCCCCCCACGGCCGCACCCTGGACTTCACACGGGTCCCGGAGCTCACATGGAGCAGCTCCGGCTCCTCCCCCATCCCTTCGCAGGCTGCATCCTTGAAGCCCAGCCCTCAACCTAGCCCTGCCTCCTATTGGCTCCTGGTCCGCCGGGTTACGCCCTCGGCGGGCGGCCCCCTTTGTGACGCCACAATCAGCTGTTTGGACGTTCTAATTTCTGATCTGGTCTGAGATCAGCAGCAATAACAGAAAATAAGAAGAACCCTGAAGCCCGTGGAGGGAGGGTCCGGCCGCAACAGCAGCCGCCTACAGCTTGCAATGGTGCATATCTTCTGAGAAGAACAGACACCACCACCACCACCTCCTGCATCTTTTTTTTAAATTTCCATTTATACTAGTGTTGTTGATTTCAATTAAAACTACCTCACAGACTGCCTAAAGCTGGTGCTTTGCGATATTTAACACAATTTGTGGGTTTCTTGCGGTGTTGTTTACAAAATATTTGCTGACATTAAAGGCAAGGTAAGTGCCATGCTCTGTTCTGAAATGTGGCTGGCTAAATTCAAACTTGAGAACCATCTCTTTGTACTGCCGCCGGCAGTATGGTTGTTTTAATGGAGTATGTTGTTGATGTTTTCAGACTTCTCTCTCTGCACGGAGTGGTTTGGGTGCGTGTTACACCCTCACCCAGGGATTTTATTAAGATTTAAGGGTCATCTGTTTTCTGGTTAGTGGGCGATTGAAGGTCCCTTTGTATTTAGCTGAGTGCAGGCAGGGACATCTCTTTGTGTTTTAGTACGTTGTGTGCATTGTGCTTTGGTGTGGTGTTGGAAGGGAGAACACAGCTCATTAGCTTCTTGGGGAGACTATTAGCTATGAAGCTAGGTTGGTCTTTTGTTGTTTTTATATTATATATCAGCGACCAGGGTGAAAGAACAGGGTCGTTTTGGATCTGGAGAGAGGCTCTTACTTCAACCACACAAGTCTGCCTCTCTCGGCTTGCCAGATGGGGGCTGGCGGGAGGGGGGGGGCGGCAAAGAAGCATAATGTCGAGGTAGGTTTGGGAGAGCAAATGGCCCCGTTAATCCCACATCCTCCTAACTACCCAAGATGGTGATTTTTGCTTGGGTTTGGTATTCAACCACAGACCTATGAGGTCACCAGAAATAATGCACTGGGACCGGGGATCCGGCTGGTATGCAGGAGAGGAGCCATTTGTCTCGACTCCCCTTTGCCAGAAGAAGTGGGGTGAGCATCCATACTGCACACGAAGGTGTGTGTGTGGCGGGGGGTGAGCAGAGAGCCCAGCTGGGTCAGAACAAGCGAATGGAAAGGGCCATCCTCATTAACTGCAACTCGGGGGGCGATGCTGTGCTGCGGCGGCTGCTTTGGCTCGGGCCGTGTCCCCTGCTCAGACGATGCAAAGCGGCCTCGGTTCGGCTCGCAGCCCTTCCCGACAGGCCGTCCCGGTCACTGGGAAAAGCCAAGTTGGTGCCTGGTTTGTCTCCCGATGGATTTCCCATCCCCCCTTCTTTGCAGGGGGGGCGTTTCTCGCTGGCACGGACAAGAGCTGGATTGCCCCAGATCCGCGCAGGGTTTAGCGACTAAGCCGGCCTAGGGCCGGAGAGAGGCTGGCCCGGCCGGTGTTATCCGCGCAGCAGGACGGGGGGTTGCCCCGCACCGTCTCCCTGTCTATGGAGCGGGCCTGGGTGCCAAGCAAGCCGGTTCTCCTCCCCCCGCAGCAAAGCCCGGCTCCTGCCAGGGGGCGATTTCTCTCGTCCGCGCCGCCCAACCGGCTGGGGCCCCGCGGCTCAGCTGCAGCCCCCGCTCCCCGCGCGCTACTTGTTGTTCGCTTCTCCACCGACGGATTCCGATTCACGGCCGAGCTCTCGTCCCATTGGCTCCTCGGGATTGGGAGCCTATGGTGACGCGCTCGTGATTTGCATATGACATTGAAACGTCACCCAGGCACGCCAGCCCGCCTCGGGCCCGCGGAGCGGAGTTGTCCTCTGCTGACCCGTGCCGAGGGCTGCAGCGGGCGTGGGGGGCTGGGCGGCCGCGCATGCCCGGGCGGCTTTGAAGGCGAAACGCCCGTCTGGTGTTTGTCTTTGCCTTACCGGGCAAGGCCAGGGCAGGCTGCTGCACCGAGTGAGGCCGATAAATGGGGGAGGGGTCCTAATGCCTTTGCTTAGTGGTAGCCTCTCTGCTGGGCAGAACTTGGAGGCTGCTTCCCTGAGCTAGCTGATTATGTAGCTCATCGGAAGCGTATTTAATGGAGTACAGACGCATGCAGATTTGCAAGCCTAGCCTGTTTCCCCCTCCCCCCACACACACAGTTAAGATGACGATGTTCAGTTATGCCGTAAGTACTTGAGAGATTTAGGGCTGGATAAGACTATTCTGCACTAAAATATCCTTTAATAATCTTAACACTATTGCAGAACCTGGATTTTCCTATTTACTTTTTCTAGTGAATGGAGCAAAGTTATGTCCGTGACCTTCTACAGTCTTCTACAGTCTGGATGATGCTCCATAAATATATCTAGTTAGGGAGGGGAAAATACTTTAAAAAAAACATTTACAGCTGCTCAGTTAAATCTGAAACTATTCAACTGTCTGATACAAAGCTGGTGTAATACATTATAAAGGTGTTTGCGATGGAAATACTAGCATCATGAAGTGCAAGGTACAGATGTATTTAAGCTGAATTCTCTACATCCCGTATTACTGAAGATTGACCAGATAGATTTTTAGCCGCCATTCAGCAAAGCACTGAAGTGTGTGCATAAAGTTCCATTAACTTCAGTGAGATTTCAGAATAGGCTTAAAAGCTCTGCTCTCCCTGGCCTCTGTTTCTCTGGAGGTGGGTGACAGGGGAAGGATCACATGAGAATTACCTGTTGTGATCCCTCCCTCTGAGGCATCTGGTATTGGCCACTGTCTGCAGACAGGATATTGGTCTGGATGGACTGTTGGTCTGACCCAATATGGCCGTTCTTATGACCCTAGGTGTCCTTCGTTTGAGGCCTTACTAGCACTGGCGTGTTGAAGTATATGCTACAACCCCCTACACAATGGAAGTTTACAGAAATGCAACAAAGCTCACTTCCCATCTGAAGAAGGGTTAGATATGCATGAGCCCTACTGCAGGCAAATTCCAGCAGCTGAACCTGTTTTTACCATGTGTTTTTCAGGTGGAGAGACATGTCAGAAGTCATTAGATCACTGTCTATTCTAGGGGCTGTATTTTCATAAGGGCTCAGCAGTTAGCAGCTTCCTTCAAGTCACCCAAATGAACTGGCCAGAGCAATGGAAACTGCTAGATGGGGAGCTTCTGCAAAGCTGGCTCTGTTTGAGTTCTTAGCAGGGTGGGGGAGGGGGGAGCGTCTAGCTTTAGTTCACCAGGGCTAAAATAAGAGGAATCCCAGGGATCAGATGTGGTGGGAATGGGAATCACTTGTGTAAATTTCCCCCTGGTTGACCGAGCCTACTGTCTAGCTAGACACACTCCCAACTCAGAGCCTCAACAAATGCCTAGTTGCCATTTATGCATAAGGGGTGTAAAACACTGTTCCTTTTCCAAGAAATACCCACTGCTGACCATGGATGGCCGTAATAGGTGCAGTTAAACAGGCACTGACCACGGTTTTCTGAAGGCATAGACAAGGATATGCTGTGTATCAGATGCCATGATTAAAACTTGTTTGGAGCTTTCTGCCCAGAGGGGAATTTCACCCTATTCCTCACCCTCCTTTTCCATAATACTTACAAGCAGGCAACTTGACAATGGTTAGGCTTTGGTTTCACAGCACCAGTGTCCTATGAAACTGACCAATACTGTCAGTGTTTCCTCCTGTTCCCCTATCAGCTGATCTCTATCTGTGGGATCATATTTAGGGTGACCATCTATCTTGTTTTTACCAGAACAGTCCCTTATCTAAGGCTGCCTCCTGGAGTCCCAACTTTAAAAAAAAAAAACAGGCACATTGCCCCATATTTCCCCTGCAGGGGGTGGGGGAGGAGCCGCCAGCACTCAGAGCTTCAGCTGCTGAAGCCCCAAGCACTGGCAGTTCCCCTCCCCCCACACTGTAGGGCTGAAGCCGAGCACTGGCAACTCCCCTCCCTCTGTGCCCCCATTGCTGCAGGGCTAAAGCCCTGAGTGCCAGCAGCTTCCCTCCCCCCGTCCCACAGGGCTGCCCCCCCAAGTGCCCGCAGCTCCCCTCCTTTGGGCTAAAGCCCCGAGCACCAGCAGGCCTCCCCCCCACCTTGGTGTCTCATATTCTGCATAGGGAAATATGATCATCCTATTCATATTTAGATTGTAAGCTCTTTGGGGCAGGTACTGTCTTTTGGTTCACTGTATAGCATCTCACACATGGGGATCTGGTTCAGGAGCAGGGTTCCTAGATGCTCCAGTAATGTAATCTAGTTTATAATTCTGCCACATTTAGTCTTAGATGTGTAAAGAACCTCCACCCTTCAATAAGTCTTTTCACCCCACTCTTCCCAATAGCAACAGAGAGACATCACTTAAAAAAACCCAATTATCACAGTAAACATTCCATGGTACATCACAGAGTCATAACTAGCTAATTTGGCGCCTGAGGCAAGACCGTCCTTGGCACGGGCGGGGGGGCGCTGCGGTGGCGCGAGGCACAAGCGAAAACAACGTAGTAGCTGTCTTTTCTGCGCCCCCTCAGCTATGCTCCCGAGGCAAGTGCCTCACTTGCCTCGCCCTTGTTACAGCCCTGGTACATCAACATCTCTGGCTGCCTGAATGAGTGTATGAGATGCCAGCAGTTTTTCTTTGAGGAATTCAGTCTTATGGTTTTACATAAAAAATGAGCTAGTGGCCTATTCATCCCTCATACACAAGCACTCCCATTAATATCTGCATCAAAAGGAGACCAAGATGGCTTCCAAAAATGCCACGTGATAAATCTTGGTGCTTTTGTGTATCCTGACCCGTTGAAACAGACCCAGACTTTTTGGTGATAATTTGAAATCCAGCGTTGACTTCTCCCCTCCCCCCACACACATACAGCACATAATGTATTGGGACAACTGGTGAGTGAGGAGAAACTTGACCCAAGTGCCACCAGCTCCAGTGGATTTATATCAGGGACAAATTTGACCCATTTGCTTTCAGCAAAGCTGTTTTTACTTGGACGTTGCAGCGTATTTGGATACCGAGAGGTTTATACTTCCCTCAAATTCTCTCCCACAAGGAGAGAGAATTCTCTCCCCTGTGTTTGTGACAGAACTTATCAACTTCAGCGAGGTGCTGGGCCAGAGTTCTGAAGGAGACGCTGCCAAACATAATGTTTTTGGGATGGTAGGAAAAAAACCCACACCCTTTCTTCCCTCCACCAGTTATTTAGAATGGTTATTTTGTCATCTCACATAGCTATAAAACCAACATACGTCTGCCTTCTGCATTTCACTCGGCTGGGAGAATGAAACTAGATAGTCACTTTCATTTTTCTGGCTCTACTGCACAATGCCATCATTTCACTCGGCTG